TGGGGCAGCCACAGCTTCTCTGGGCAACCTGTGCCAGGGCCTCCCCACCCTCACAGGGAAGAATTTTTTCCCAATATCCCATCTAAACCCACCCTCCTTCAGCTTAAGGCCACTGCTGTATGTGGCAACTTAACCTACAGTCACTTGCTAAGGGCCACATCCCAAGATTTGCCTGAATTTTCTGTATATTCTTCTCTACACTTGAAAAACAACTCAGGGTAAGGTTGAAAGCACACTTTAAGCTGCACACCTGTTCTAAAAAGCCATGTATAGACAAGCTCTGAAACTTCGCTGCAGCTGCCTGCAGCCCTTGCTTCCACTCGTCCTCGGGGATGAGCATGAATTAAAAATCTGAAGACAACAGCAAATTTCATTTTTAATTAGCCAGGGCAGCCAGCCAAGGAGGGCTCCCCCACCCACCCATGGCTAGTGAAGCCTGACAGCTCTAAAGGATTTATGCTTCCCTGTGCATTCCCAGTGGCCATTCCAAGCACAGCAGCTCAAACAAGCGCCAGCCATGCAGCATTTGAGTGCAGTTAATATCCAACCAGGGAAGGACAGCAGTACATCCACAGCACCAGGCTTGGAGGGAACAAAGGGCACGGACTTCAGCTCAGCTCTGCCTTACCTCATCTCCGGGATCAAGAGTCCTGAGCTTAGCAGCACTTGGAGAATGAGAGTCCTTAAAAGCAAAGGAATTTTAAGGAAATTATAATAGAAGACCCATCTGCTTATTCTGCCTTTAATGTGGAGCTCTTGGCTCCCAGCACTTAAGGAGGCAACATGTAAAGCTTCTCAACCAGCTGTGTGGGGTGTCTGTGCATGCAAAGATCCAGTGCAGATACTCCATCCCAAACTGGCGCAGCTCAAGTAGTTCAGAGGGAAAGGGGGGGTAACTCTACTTTAAGCTGGCAAAATGCAAACAGAACATGAGGCTTTTCACATCCCAGGGCACCAGCACTGCTCAAACCAGGAGTTAAAGCTTGCAGTAACCTCAGCAGGCTCCAGCCCTGTGTCCCAGTGATCTACCCCCAAAATGGGGTTCAGCTGCACGTAAAATGGGACACAAAGCTTTGTGATGTGAACACAGCTGGCTGCTGGCAGCCCCAGCACAGGCTGAGACCTGGGGAACAAGCAGAGCTCAGTGTTCATGGAATCGCAGACTGGTTGGGGTTGGAAGGGGAGCTTGAAGATCATCCAGTTCCACCCCCTGCTGTGGGCAGGGACACCTCCCACTAGACCAGGCTGCTCCAAGCCCATCCAACCCAGCCTCGATGTTGCTCAAAGCCATCCCAGTAATTCAGGCTGGAGAGATGGAAACTGGCCCTGCTCTGCCTGTGCTCTGTCCCAGGGTTGACAAGAGCTGCCACCTCCACAGTCACTGCTCCAGTCTCAGCTGCCAGTGCCACACTTCACCCTCCTCCTCCTCCTCCTCCTCCAGAAGTCATCACTTGGGATTAGTTTGCCACAAGCAAATCAGAAGGGAAAGCAACCACCCTGAACAGATTAAATGTTCACCTTACAGGCTGGCAATTAGAGGGCACAGCAGCAGTTCTTGCCACCAGGACTACAAGCACAACATGTTTTTATGCAAGAACTCTCAGCTGGTCCAGCCAGGCCACTGGGCTCCACCAGACCAGCTCTGTAAGAAGCCAAAAACTGGCCTTCATCTGCCCCACCAAGCAGCCTTGCCCTGCTGACAGGAAACATCCATTTCCAGGGTTTTCAGGATGGCATCACCTGACCACACAGAATAATCTAGAAATAATGTTTATGAGTTAGAAGTCACCAACTGCAGCACTGTGGTCCAGAAGATGTGAGGTCAATATGCTTCACAAACTGGTTTCCCATGGTGCAGGCAAGAGCTTTCATGCAAATCTCATGCCAATGGTAAGGAAAAAAATGGCCACTTAACTCAGGGTTTTTTTAGCCACTTTAGGCAAACAGATGGAAGAGCTATCTATTCAAGGCAATCTCTAAGCCAAAAATCTGCGAGTTTTAGTTACAGCCATATCCTTCCATCAGTTAAACCTACCAGGGATGAGTTTACTTGCCTCAGGGCAAGCAGCACACAGTGCCTAAAGCAACAGCTTTAATGCCAAATTTTAATTAAAGAAATCCTGTATCTATTGCAAGACAGAACAGCCTAGAGAAATAAATACAGAAAAAGAACTCAGGAGCAACCATGAGCTGATCCTCCTTTATGGCTTGTTCAAACCAGCTCACTGCTTTTGACTCTTCCCTGCTAAGAAAGGGGATGTTACTTGTTTTCAAGAGCTTGGGACAGCCAGCAGACTTGTATTCCACGTTTCAGAGATGGGAAATTCCAAAAAAAAAAGATCTTCCAGATGTACAAAAGAGCTTCAAATCAGATCTGGTCCACACCACAGTACTGATGCATCTGCCAAACTAGATAGTTTTCTAATCACCTTCTACACTTCAATTGAAGACACCAAGTTTAAAGTCAGCAGGTTCTTTATGATGCTTAACCAAGGAACAAAGAACAGGTTCACAACCTGTGGTAAGACATCCAAGAGTACTCACCAGCGTTCTCTTCCATTCCTTTTGCACACTATCTTCCTGAGCAATTCCTGCAAAAAACAAGAAGCAAAAAAAAAAAAATCAACACACAAACTGCAATTCTGAGCGTGACCAAAGCTCAGATGATTAGTTTCATTTCTCTATCAGCTCTGCTCAGCCTACACAAAACCAGCATGGAGGGAACCCAAAGCAGAAATCCTGCCCCAAACCAGGAACAAGAGTGTGGCATCATCACCCCTCTTTGAAGACATCAGTAGCCTCTAATCAGACACACGCTGAGCTGGAAAGGAAAGAGAAGCGAAATTAAGGTGCCATAATTACAAAGCAGCAAATATTTGTTCCCAGGGAAAACATTCCACATCTGCCTCTTCAGGAAGGGATGTGCCTGCTGTAAAAGGCAACAGCTATTGCTTATCTAGCAAAGGCAGCACAGCACACGCACAGGAAGTATTTCAGATGTCACAGCATCAAGGCACTTCTGAACATGGGGAGTGTGTGTGTTTGGGAACACAAAAAAGAGGAACCAGGATTTTAGCAGCAAAGCCAGCTTTTCTCTGGAGAAAGTTCTGAAAGGAGGTGCAAGAGGAACTAAGTTTGGGAAAATCAGGTATGTCTTGATTTTGACAGATTACGTAGCACAGTAAAAACAGGGAGGTTCTGTCCTGACAATCTTGCAGTTCAGACTAAGAACCCCAGTCAGACACACCAGCAGGCACAGCGTGGGGTGACTGAGGAAGAACTACAAAATAAGGCTGTTTCCAGTGCTGAGGAGTCAAACCCAGACTTAAACCATAGCCCTCCACCTTCTCTCCCAGCAGCAAAGCACAGTTTGGTGGCTGTAACTCCACATCAGATCAGCTGGATCACCCTCATGTGACAACCTGCTGAGTGTGCAGCACGTGCTCAGCCTGCAGAGAGCACGGGAGCATCCCGGGGCTGCCGAGTCAGCAGAGACAGCCCCACCACCCCACCCCTGGGAGCTCTGCCCAGAGGGGCATTTCAGCTCTGCTTTGCTCAGCTCTGTGGGCAGAAAGGCTTCTCTGGATGAGGCAGCCACGCTCCAGGGTACTGCTCCCTGCTGCAGCTCCAGTACCGCCACAGGGATGTTCTTGGATGGGGTGAAACACCTCGACAGAGCAATTAAACCCTCAAACCAGTGCTGATGATCCCAGCTTTACACAGGTCAGTGAAGAGAAGGGCTTCTGGGCAGCAAGTCAGTCAGGAACATCAGCTGATCTTGATTTCAGAGGCAGACTGACACTTGAGCAACACCCTCAGAATCCCTACAGCTTAATCCATGAACACTGGGAAAATTAAAGTTAACTTTCACATGCATTTGGGATGTGGTTTGGTACATCCACGTGCTGCACCAAGGACACCATCTGCAAGAACTCAAACGAATGAGTCACAGAATCATCAGGGTTGGAAAAGCCCTCTGAGATCATCGAGTTCAACCATTACCCCAGAACAGCCGAGGCCACCACTAAACTATGTCCCCAAGTGCCACATTCATGTTTTTGAGCACTTCCAGGGATAGTGACTCCACCACTGCCCTGGGCTGCCTCTTCCAGGGTTTGACAACCCTCTTGATGAAAAATTTTTCATTACTGTCCAATCTAAACCTCCCCTGGCACAACTTGAGGCCATTTCCTCTCGTCCTGTCCCGTGTTACCTGGGAGCAGAGCCCGACCCTCACCTGGCTCCACTCTCCTGTCAGGGAATGCTCCCCACTGCAGGCAGAAGGACCCATCATTCCTTCCTGCCCTTTCAGCAAACCCTTCTGGGAAGGGAAAACAGAAGGAAAACAAAAATCAGCCACCTCAAAGCCTACTTGAACCTCAGTGCAGATGACAGAGCACTCCCACTCCCCCAGAGCCACCAGGGAGCTGGGTTTAATTTGCCTTTCAAGGGCATTCCTGCACAGGCTGCTCTGTGCTTTGCATATTCCAAGGGGCACATTTGTGCCTGGAATACAAATCCTGGCAGCCCCCCTCACTGCTGGACACTCACTGTACCCAAGGACATCTGTCACTGCCTGACAGCACGGCTGGAAGCACCTCAGTCTGTGCTGGGAGGATCCTTCTGAGCAAAACACTAAATCCACAATATCTGGTTATTAATAGAACGAGCACAAAAGGAACACTGGAGGGGAAAAAAAAAAAAGTGATGCCAGGTTAGAGGAAGAAGGAGCAAAGTCCAGGCTCCCAGAGCATTGCCACAGGCTGCCAAAGCAGGAACACACAGCTCTAAGGAACAGGCACTTGCTCACCAAAGGAATGGATTAAGCAGTGCAGATCCTGCTGCCAGCCTTAACTAGGGCTGGCTAATTGGGAAGCTGGGTTGAGATAACCTGCCCTGCAGAACAGCAATTTGCTTTTATCCCCAGTGCTGTCAGAGGTTTCCCAGATACCTAACCCTGAGAAAACTTGGGATTTTTCATTTCCTCTGGCGTGACACATGCCACAGCTCTGAATATTCATGTGCTCCGAGCGCTCACACATTCCCGGGGCCTGACAGCTGTGTGAAATTCCTGCGTTTCCAAGAGTTCCCGGCACAGCTCCGGACACTCCGCAGCCCCTCCCGCTCTCGCCATCGCAGCAGCAGAACCGCGGCCTTTGTCTGCCTCGGGACTTCAAACACCCCACGGGTTTTTTTTTTTCCCCCAGCTCTTTGTACCAGTCCAAGAATATATCCCTGTTCCATTGACCCGGCTTTGAACTCCCGGCAGCAAGGTGATGGCTTTTTTCCAGCCGGGCAGCTAATCCACACACAATGGGAACTCGCTGCTCCACAGCCATGCCACAGTTTTCCACCCTGTTTCTCCAGCCTTAATGCGCTCCCTGCTGCACGGGGAGTTCTGTCTTTCCCAGCTCTGTCACATCCTCCCGAGGGTGCATCCCACAGCAACACACACCAGCCCAAATCCACACCCTGGCCCTCCTCCCATGCCTTCCCACCCATCCCTTGTGCCAGCACTGGTCCGCCCACCTTGGGAACAGTGAAAGCTGACCCAGATGCACCCCAGGCATGTCCAGAGGAGTGGGTTGGGAAGGACAGGACCTCACTGTCACACCAAGGTGCCACTGTTTTTCCAGCCTCTGGCAATCCACATCCACGAGCTTTACTGATGACCAGCTTCCCCCCTTCCTCATGGTCTAATTTTCAGTGACCCTTGCCCAAACCTCTGGAATAACAGGCATTTAGCTTGCTCCAGAGTGAAGCTCATTAGCTGGACCCCTCTGTCCTCACTGCTCATCTCTTCCAGTAACAGGAGCTTCCTTCAAAACACTAAGGGATGTCTCCAAAAGTCCTGCTAAAACTCGAGCCAATGTTGGTTGTTTTTCCCAACTGAACTAGAAAACTGACAACTCTTCCAAGCAGAAGTGGCACATTACTTCTCCACTGTGGCTGCCAACAGGGTTGCCTTAGGCATGGAAAGGCCCTTTCCATGCTGGCTCAGCTCTAAATCACCATCCAGAGAGGGACCTGACAGCAGCTGGGCAGCAACCACAGGGCTTTTACTGTAATGAGACACAAAACCTGAGGCTGTCTTGGAAAAAAAACAAACGTGGGGGAGAGAAAGGATGCTCTGATAAGGATCCAGAACTACAGCCATCAGTTGGAGGGAGAGGGAAAAGGAAGGGTTAACAAACACCCAAGAACAAGGTCCTGTGCTAATACAGACCATGACCCGTGAAATTAAACAAGCTCACCTGACACCTCCTAGAAGATATTTAATTTTGACCTGATGTGGTGCTGCCAGCAGCCAACAAAACAAATAGAATATTGTAATTCGTGATGCCACTTCAGCCCTTTGCTTTACACTGTTTAAAAATGCCACTGCTACAGCAGCACCCAGAAGGCCAAATCCCCTGCAGGTTCCCACTGGAGCAGATGGCAGGAGCCCAGGGAGGGATTGAGGCTGCCTGGAAGAGCTCACCATCACAACATGACCAAGTGGACATGAGGAATAAGGCCAGCTGGGAGATGGAGGCCAGGCACTGAGCAGCCTCCTCTTCATCACGCAGGGAACATTCCGAGTCTTCCCCGTCTTGTCCAAACTCCACTGGAATGGTTGAACCATCAGGACCCTCCCCAGCTGCACACGTTTCTCAAGGGCCAGACTCCCAAACCTGCCCCACGGATCTCGCTGCCCCCATCCCTTTTTATAAAAGCAACGTAAAAAATAAAAATCAATTCACCATTTTCTTCTCTCCCCAACCAGTTACTCGTTCTGGGAGGGCAGATGAGTGGATTTTCACAAAGCTGAGATAACTCCACCTAATGCCATGGGTCTGTTGGCCATGGAGCCCCACCAGGCCCCCCCATGGGGAGGGCTAAAGAAGCTCATTTTATCTGCCAGGCACGAGATTAAGAGCGTGGCAAACAATATTATAACTGTGTTCCATAAAACAGAATAACTCAACAGCACCAAAGGGTTCTCCCAAGGGATAGATTTCAGCATGAGTGCACAAGCTGGAGCTTAAACATTACAAGGGAAATTCTTAAAAAAACCTAAACAGATCAACTGTGGCAAA